CCAAGTCTATGTCCTTAAGGTCTGTGGAAATCGATTTGGGCAAAGAAACCTGTTAGAACGGCATCTAAGGGACAAACATCATGTGGAGTACCTTGAATATCTCTACCAGGAAGAACTAGAAGTGCAGCGGCAGAGGCTAGATTGACTCAATAATTGTCAAAATTGTGGCGCAAAATTGATGTCATACTTACAGAGAGGAGGAGCTGGAGCGAAATAGAATTGATGAGTTAACTTCCGGTGGGTTCATTCCCCCTCAGTCTGCGATAGAATCGAACAGTTACGAAGTTGATGTCCAAGAGTGAGCCGCTTTTCTTCTCTGCTTCTTCTCGTCGTCGTTCGTTCAAAATACATTTAATATTAAGTAAATAGATGTACTTTAATGTCGAAATTGGTTTGTTTTTAGGATCCCTCTTCCCGGGGAATTGTCCAATGGTGTTGTTGCTAGATTTGATGCCAACGGCTACCTTCGGCAACCAAAAAGAACCTTTCGTAAAAAGGTGGACTTTTGTTATACTGAAGTTATTTATCGCTGAATTCTTTCTATTTGCAGGTTTCACCACAATGTCCGTTTTGTGACAAGCGATTCAGAAATGAGGTTTCATTAAAGAAACATTTTGTAAAGAAACATCCCGAATGCGTTGAATTTGTGCAATGTCTTGACTGTTTCAAATGCCTACCCGATAAAACTCATCTTGCTGATCACGAGTGCGATATGGTGGGTAAAGGGTTCTCTTTTACTCAATTTTAAAATATTAAATTGTTTGATCAGAATGGCGGAATCATAATATTGTCTGTCCACATCAATCTGCAATTGTTTTAGTTTTGTAAGATTTCTTTTATTCAGACATGGTTGTGCTACGAGTGTTCACCTATTCAAAATATGTGCACTGAGCAACGCTTCACGAACCACAGGGCAAAGTTTCATCGTGGAGCTAATTCTGGCTTTCGCTGCAACGAATGCAACCAGAAGTTCCTTACTCCCCGGAAGCTCAGGTGAGTAGTTGTTATTGCAGAAACCACATTTTACTGCTTTTCATCGAGTTGTAGTAAAATATTTTGTTTAGGAAGCACAGAAAAATGTCCCATGTTTTTGTGAAGACTTATGCTTGTCACTTCTGTGAGGAACTTTTTACTAGTGAAGTTTCGGTACGTTTTTAGATTAGTAGGGTGAGGGTCAGTGTGAGGAAATAATATTTAGGTTATGACTCATGAGCGGATTCATACCGGTATCATCAAATTCGAATGTAAAATCTGCGACTTCCGGTGCAATAGATATATCCAAATGGAGAATCACAAGAAAGTGAGTCTTATTA